TAGCTTTGTTATTCATTTCAATGAAAATTTACAGAGACTTTGGATTTCCATTCATTCACTGTTGCACTTTTCTCCCCTCCCAATCTTCCCCTCTAGTACACTACCCTCTTGGAAAAGAAAAATTCTTTCTGTTTTACAATCCCTCCCCCGAGGTCCACTCTACTATACAGCCTTTGCTCTGGACTCCTGTCATGACAAAAATCCCTAATAATTTTCCCTCTTAAACAGTTTTCTCCCTCATCTGTTTCAATGCAGTACACATCATTGAACCCATCCTTCTCAGTCTCCTCCCAACCCCGAGGTCAGTCCTGATTTACAACAGTGGCACCATGCAGTATTTGTCCTTCTGTGACTGGGATACTTCACTCAGCATAATGTCCTCCAGGGTCACCCATTTTGAATAATATTGCATGAGTTCCTTGTTTTTCAATGCAGCATAGTATTCCATTGTGTGACTATACCACAGCTTCTCTATCCATTCGTTTGTTGATGGGCACTTAGGTTATTTCCAAGTCCTTACTAGTGGGAACAAAGCCGCAATAAACATGGGTGTGCAATTATCTGCTTGGATGTCAGTTATGGTCTCTTTGGGGTATATTCTCAGTAGTGTAATTGCTGGGTCATATGGTATCTTTATTTGTAACTTTTTGAGAAAGCACCATACCGCCTTCCACAGTGGTTGCACCATTTTACACTTCCACCAACAGTGAATAAGGGTTCCAGTTTCTCCACAACCTCACCAACATTTGTTGCTTGCTGTTCTGTTAAATTTTGCTATTCTGACTGGGGTGAGATGGTATCTCATAGTTGTTTTAATTTGCATCTCTCTTAGAGCTAGGGATTTTGAGCATTTCTTCAAGTACTCGCTCGTTAGCCATCCGAATGTCTTCTTTCGTGAAGTGTCTGTTCATACCCTGTGCCCATTTTTCTATTGGATTATTTACCTTTATCTTGTTGTGGTGCTCAAGTATTTTATAAATTCTGGATATAAGTCCCTTATCTGTCATTACCAAATACTTTTTCCCAGTCTGTGGCTTCCCTTTTTACCCTGGTGAAGAAGTTTCTGGATATGCATAGGGATTTGATTCTTAGAATATCCCATTGATCTATTTTATCTTCTCCTGGTTGTAGGTTAAGTTGAATTTTTAAAAACATAATTTTATAGGAAAATTTAAACCACATGATCAATCTAGAAGACATTATGTTGGGTAAAAAAGTCACAAAAGACGAAATCTTGTATGTTGTTATATGCTGCTGAGTCAAAACTAATTCAAAACTGATCCTCCTGAGGGGTTCCAGAGGCTACAAATGGCACGGAAGGTGACTATGAAACTTTCTCCAGCAGAGGAGGTGGTAGGTTTAAACTGCCAGCCTTTGGGTTGGCTATGTAACTCCTTATCCAATATGCCTCCAGAGTTCCCTAATATGTTGTTGTTATGTACCATCAAGTCGCTTGCGACTCATAGTGACTCTACATATAGCAACTCTGAAGCCTGCCTGTCCTGAGCCAGTCTCACTGACTCCAACACACCTATCCTCACTGCCACAATTACTCTATCAATCCGTCTCATCCGGGGTCTTCCTCTCCTGTGCTGTCTGTCCACCCTTCCGAGCATGTCCTTCTCTAAGGACTGGTCCCTCCTAGCCACATGCCCAAAGTATGTGAGATGGAACTTCAACACCCTAGCCTCCAAGGAGAAACTTGGTTTCATCCTCTCCCAGACAGAGCTGTTTTCTTGATGGTCCAAGGTATGTTTGAGACTCTTCTCCAGCACCACGATTCAAAGGCATCAATTCTTCTGTCATCCTTAGTCACTGTCCAGCTCATTGTACAGACCATGGCCTGGATCAGGAGCTCCCTAGTCTCTAGATTGACATTGTCGATTCTCAGTACTCTGCAGAGGTCCCTGACAGCAGAGGTGATTATAATGCATACAATAGCTCTTTAGGGTTCTGAATTTTTGAGAATGCAAAGGATCCCAAAGATCTAATAAGAACTAAAGATACAGGACATCACTAAATAACTGGGTATTCTTTCCAATTGGAAAATATGATTGGGAAAACAATTATGAAAGGTTTAAGAGACAACTGACTGCATCTAAAGTAGATCTCTTTAAAATGTATTTTCAAAGGTGATAAAAATTTATTGAGTCATTTTAGGTTATTTCAGTCAGACTTAAGCATGCAATAAAAAGATTAAGAAGCACTTAAGTTTTATGAGACTGTTAGTTTGAAAATCTTCTAATAGGAGCTCTAGTGCCACAGTGAACGTTGCGTTGCTCTGCTATCCAAAAGGCTGCCTCTCCAGCAGTTCAAATCCACCAGCTGCACCTCAGAAAATGGGAACTCTCCTTTCATTACAATTTACAACCTCAGAAATCAATGTAGAGTTGTTAGGAGTTAGGACTGACTCAGTGGCAATGAGTTTGCATTTTTTTGAGTAATGAAGACAGAGAGGCCTACAATGAACTTTTAAAGTCTGCATGTACTTCTTCTAGAACTCCTTCATTATAAATGATGTGGAAAAGAATAGGAGAAAACAGTGCCTTGCTTAAAATGTAACTTTTCTAGTATACTAATACCCAAGACAAAAAATAACCAGCTAGACAAGGTTAGCTTCAAGAGTTTCTGTGATTTAAATCCCTGGAAATATTACCATCTTGTGGCAAAATCAAGTATTGCAATTTTGAATGACAATCTGAGAAATGGTTGCGAGACAGCAAGTGTTTCTGCCTCCATTCCACAACCTCCACGGCAATCCTCATTAAAAACTTTAAATATCGAATCGAATTGAGAATCCAGAGATCAACCCATCTATCTATGGTCAACTGAT